CTCCCGCCGAGGGTTCGGATCCCATATACAGACCGGTCCTCTCACTGGTTGAGCGCGGTGCGGGCGCGACACCGAGGGTTGCGATCCCGTTGCAGGTCGCGGTACGGGCGCGACACTGAGGGTTGCGATCCCGTTACCGGTCACGAAAAAAGACAAAAAGGAAAAAAAAAAAAAGATGACCGGTAAGGGGATCTCACCCCTTGACTTGGTGTTGTCAGCACCACGCTCACCCAGTGAGCCAACCGGCCATCCCTATATGGGATCCGAACCCGTGGCCTTGGCATTATCAGAACCACACTCACCCGAGTGAGCCACGGGCCGACCCCAGAGTTATATTTCAATACACGTTTACAATGTGTGATGAGCAAATCAGGGTAATTAGTATGTCCATCGTCATGAAAATTTATCACTTCCTTGTGGTGAGAGCATTTGTGATAAATGCTTTCTCAGGGACATATCACAGACACATAGCGTGGGACAAGGTTCATATTTTAATTATAAATTTATGAGAACTTCTAATATGCTTAGAAAGTTTTTTTTTTTTTTTTTTGAATAAGTGAGTATTCTCTCTCATGCTCTTACTTTCCTGATGTGGTACTTCCCCTAATGCTAGCTTGGAGAGAGTGTCAGAGAGTCCTTGTCGTATCTCATACAAATTCTGAATTGGTAAAGAATGAGTTTGTGAGGTTTTACTAGCCTAGGAACATAAAAAATGTTACCTTCTAATAATATTTAATCATCATTTAAATATTTTGGGTTGCAGATACATACCAGTAGTATATATAATGCCACATTACAATAAATCGCAAGGTAAAAACCAAAGTCTTAAAACTTAAGTTTTCAAAAGTGTTGATTCATTCTTTAGTAGCAAAACCAGCTACCAATGATTGAGTACCTGCATGATGCCAGGTATTATACTTTACATAAAATTATTTCCTTTAATTCCTATAAAAACTCTTTGAGCTGAGTATTTATTCTCATTTTATGGATGAAGACATTAAGGCAGATTAAAGTGGTTTGCCCAAGACTATCACAGATGGGCTTCCAATTCAGATCTTTTGGACTCTAAAACTCATTCTATTTTTTAACAGCCTGTTCAATTTTTAAAAAAAATTTACCTTCACTTATAAATAATTGACCTATAAAAACCTTGTGAAAACTAAGAATTCCCATACATTTTTGTTAACAAAAAACTATGAGATCTGCCATGGAAAGAAAGGAGAAAACTTTATTTTCAAAGAAAGAGGCAATCTGCCGATTGGGGAACACAACCTCTGGGGAAAATCGAAAGTGCGATGTTCAAAGAAGGGAGGGAGGAGCTGGTATGTCTTACAGGATCAGTCTTACGTACTCATTTAGCAGGTGTGGGAAAAAATCTACGAATATGTGTGAGGGAGTCAAACGGGTGCACAGTGAGTAAACATATATGGAACATACATTCCATGTTTACTTTGGGTTGGGATTTTATTATTAAAATGAGGTGGAACGTAGCTCTTTACATCAAAAGGTAAAGGGCTATATATGGCGCAAAGACGGTTTCAGGGGCAGGCATTGACTTCTGAGCTTTTTGGAAAGTTGATATTTTAATAACTGTTTATTCTTAAGAATAGACTTTCTTAAAGCTTATAGAGTTTTTTTTTTTCTCTCTCAGAAAATAAGAGAGGTAAATACCACATCTTATGAAGCTTCTCCTGCAAATATATTGAATTATTCCTTTAATTAGATGGACTCAATTTGTTGGCCTCTAAGTTTGCATAGTTATGCATTTGTTTTTACTTATTTATTTATTTATGTATTTTTGGTGGCTGGCTAGTCCAGGGATCTGAACCCTTGACCTTGGTGTTATCCGTGCAGTGTTCTATTGAGTGTGCTAAATGGCCAGCCCCTATGCATTTGTGTTAATGTATATTTTGTATATATTTTTTCCCCCAGTATCATGTGGTTTTGGCCTCTTACCTTTTAATATGTAAAAGGCATATGACAACCTTAGGAGAGTCTACATTTTACTCTTCTTAGACTGTTGAATACATATAATATAAGAAGGTACTTTAAAAAGTTCATGGAAGGATTCATATTATCTTTTAATTCCATTTTTCCACTTGTGAAGTACCCTTGTATACAATGATATTTACAATAGATTTATATCTTGGAGGAAGAGAAAGGAGTTAGTTTACACGTTCTGTAAAGAAGGTAAAAATCGTAAGGAAGTTCAAATGAAGGCAAATATACCTTGAAAACCCCCTTAAATCACCCATAAAGTATAGTATACTTGGCATATGTGGGATAATTCTTATGTACACTTCAGTTTGTAGTTGCTGAGCCAGGTTCAAGGAAGACAAGCGCTTTTGGCAGATATTTTGGCTGTCATACCACTTTGCTTCCACGAGAGTCTCTAGTGTGGGATGAGGACTGGAGAATTCCCATGTGACCCTGCTTGTCTGCAGCCTTTACACCATTATGATTTTAAAAAAAGGACTCTATATCTTGATACTTGTTAATATGGTTTCTCATTTTGAGGAGGACTAAATGAGATTATTATGTACATGGAAACCTCTTCAAATATTAGGACTCTATGTGGACACAGTAGATGTTCAGTAAGTTTGATGGAATTGATCCTGGTCTAGTCGATCAATTCCACAGTTACACTGTGTTTGAAAAGGTATCCGGGAAAACCTGGCCACCTGCTTCCTGTCTTCCCAGGTTGGCATTACTGGTGGTGACTTTCTCTGAGCAACCTTACCTCTCTCAACCCCTTATTATCGGACTTAAGGTAAATTTTTGTGAATTAAAACATGAATATTCAAGTTACCACAAGATGGCGTCAGATCATTTTAAGTAATGCCAGGTAGAGGGAGCTTCAGTTCAATGAATGCTTAATTTTAAAATAAGTTAAAATATGTGCTTTTCATGTCATGGCATTTATATATTGCAAATAAACCGCTAATTTCTTTCACCATTCTTATGTGGAAACTTGAGGCTCTTGTCTATTCAATTTCAAAAGTAGTTGTTTAGAAAGTGACTTGAATCTTGCAGATGATTATTTCCTAGAGTAAATAGTTCATGGTTTCTGTATTTGGCTAGAAAAATTTTACTTTTATTATTTACAAACATTGTCTAATGGTGACCCCTAAGTATTTTAAAATGTTCCCCTTCATGATTTCCTATCATTATTATGATCTCTTAGTCTGATTTATTTTCTTCTGAGTACATGTGACATATTTATTTTTTGTTTGTTTCTCCAACTAACATGTAAACTTTGTAAGAGGCACTAATTTTGTTTCTTTCATTACTGTATCCTCAGTGCCAGGAACATTTCTTGCATGGTAGGTACTCAAAAAACTGTTAAATGAAGAGTAACTAGAGTTTTCACTATTTAAATCAATACCCTTTGTCTTAATAAGCACATATTAAAATTATGTGAAAGTGTGAAATATTTGAGTTTATAATCTTTTGGAATTTCAGTGATCAACTTAGCAGAGTAATCAGAACTTGAAAATTTATCACTCTGCTTCTCTGGAGATTACATTTCCAACCTCTGTCATAATTTAGTTTAGTAATCTTCCTACAATTTACAGTATATTTATAATATTCAGTCAGGATGTATTTGTAGATACACAATAAAAAATTAGAACAGTAGTCAAGGAGATAATCTCATTTTACTTGCATGTACAAGTTATAATTTATAGACACATACACACACACACACACACACACACACACACACAATTCAGAGGACCTATGCGGATCTCAGATATCCCTCTTGCTTCAAGGGTACTGTGTAAGTGAAAGTCTCCTTTGTCAAGGAACAGAATATCTATTTTTTTTTGTGGCTGGCTGGTACAGGGATCTGAACCTGTGACCTTGATGTTATAAGGCTGCTCTCTAACCAATTTAGCTAACCGGCCAGCCCCTGAGAAACAGAATATCTAAAACTGGCCCTCTGTGATGGACATGTATCTTTACTTCAAGAAAGCAGTAATTGTAATTTTAAGCATTTCTTTTTAGTGCTAAAATGAATGAATGACTGAATGAATACATTTTAAAAACCATGGTTTTCATTATTTATCAAGATTATGTTTCCTATAATGTGTGAATGACAGAGTTTACCAACATGGAACATGATAGGAGGTGTTGAGGCTGCTGAAGACTGAGCCTACTGCTTGTCTTCATATATGGGTTCCCAAATGAAGGAGGGCTTATTTTTTAAATCGATCCCTGAATTCATTGAGGTTTACATCCAAATCATTTGCTCATTCAGCAAATGTTTATTGAATGCCTATTATATGCCAGACAGACACTGTGCTGGTTGGTGGAGATATAGGAGTAACTGAAATAGACAATATACTAAATAGGCTTTCAGGGCCATATAATCAACAAATTAAATATTTATCGAGCACCTACCATGTGCCTGGCGTAGTGCTAACCCAGCCACCAGGAAATGGTGTAGGACAGCGTGAAGGCATTCACTCTGTATTAAACAAGTGTGGTTTAATTTCCTGGCTCCATTAGGAGCCAGCTAGGTGACACTAAGCAATCCAATCTTCATTCTCTTCATTCCAGTTTTCATTTCTGAAAAATAGGGATAATGATGTCACATAACCCAGTTACAACGGAGAGGCTATTGGATTTAGATGAGATCATGCAAGGAAAGCATTTAGCAGAGTGTCTAGCTCAAACAACAGTCTCGATTTATGTTAAGCTGGTTTAATATTAATAATATTATTGTTTATTACTCAGCTTAACCTTATCTCCCTTCTCTACCCAGGCTGGGTTGGATCTAAAGAAATTTTTACCTGGGTTTTATACAATTGTAATTTTAAGGTGATGATGGTATCTCACTTATCTAGGCCCAAGTGGTAAAGTTGAGATCCTTTAATGAAAACTAGCCGTAGAGGTTGCTTGGAGAATATTTACTGGTCCTGCAGTAGCGGCGGTTACTACTAAATAATTCTCTTTGATGAAAGGTGAATGGTAATTCTTCTTTGTATGTTTTCATTTAGTACCCCAATCCCATGGATAAAAATGTCATCTCTGTAAAAATCGTGGAGGAAAAAAGAGGTAAGTTCTCTGACTATATGCTCACTTCAGTGATGATCAAGTGATACTGATTTTTGTGAAGATGTGTGTGCATGCTTGTGTGTGGCTATTAGGTTTTAAACAGGTATATTTCTATACTTGAGGTAACTGATAGAAAGGTCTGGCACTTAGAGCATCAGCATTTACAGCAGAAGGCCTGCCTAATATGCTCTTGTCACTTTCTAAATTAATAACTGATGACAACACCAAGCTACATAAATTGTAATAGCTAACATTTTTGAACAGTTAGTATGTGCCAGGTGCTCTTACTTTCATTAACTCATGTAATCTTTAGAACAGTGTATGGGGTAGGTATTAGATTACTCTTATTTTATGAATGAAGAAACTGAGGCGCGGAGAGATTAAACAACTTGTCCAAGGTCACATGACTAAATCCCTATAAAACCTTCATATATCATTTTGTAGATGGCAAAATAGATAGGATTAATAGCATGTATATAAAATGTGACCATAAAGCAATTAGATTATGGAATCTTAACTGTACTTGGCAATGTGGTTCAATGTCTATTAGAGCAGAGGTTGGCAAACTATGGCTCATGCTGCCTGTTTTCATAAGTAAATTAAGTTTTATTGGAACATAGCCACACCCATTTGTTTACATATTACCTATGACTGCTTTTTTGCTACAAACAGCAGACATGAGTAGTTGCAACAGAGACTTTATGGCCCACAAAACCTAACTCATCTACCATCTGGCCCTTTACAGAAGATATTCACCAGCCCCTGGGCTAGAGGATAGGAATCTCTACTGTTCTTTGTCATCCCTATCTCCAGCAGAAGCATTGTCATTGTCAGTGTTTGAACTTGAGAACTGGGCAGTGCAGGAATCTGTGACAATGCATGTAATCAATGTACAGACCTTTGGAGACACCCAGATCCAGGTCTAACGTGCTCTTCAGCCTTTTTAGGAATCATGAGATACTACTGTTCATTACATTACTCTGAGGCCCTCTCTGTGTTTGGTAAACATAAAACTATTTTTTGCTTGTGAGTGTATTTTCTGCACTTCTATAACTATATAAATATACTTTAACAAACATTTTCTCATGTACCTGCACTCAGTGTGGGAGAAACTTATTTTTTGACATCAAACAAATCTAATTTCAAGTCCTGATTTTGTTACTACCTTCATGACCTAACTTTTTGGAGGCTTGGTGTCTTCATCTGTCAATGGGAAAATAATCCTGTTTTTAGGTTGTTGTGCAGATCAAATGAGAGGACAATGTGCATTTTCTAAATAGGAATATTCATTATAATTTCTATCATTGTCTGGGACATCTTTGCCTCTGGGAGTAGCAAGTCCATCCACGTGTCCTATAAACATTGGATGAGGTGGCCAAAGGGAGTGCCTGTGGGCAGAGGGTTTCATGCCCTATCAACAGCTCTGGGAAGTCACCGTGTTTTCATGAATTGCTGAGACTGCTCTAGCCAGAGCTTTGAGAGGCTCCCTAGCAGAATGGCCGAGTCGCAGTAATTCAGAGCAAATGAGAGCACTTCAAAGTTTATCCTTTTCTCTGCCTCTGTCTCTCTTTTTCTTAACTCCATTTATTGTGTTTTTTACATTCCTTGTTCCATTCTAGAAATTTTGCTCCACAAAAGAATGGTTCCAGTCATTGGGAGTCTACTTACTCCCTTTCAAGAGAAGAATATGGCTGATATAATTAATTAATTCCAGGTTTAAGTTTTGTAGCCAGAAATATGTGCTTGAGAGTTTGATACAGAAGGTAGCAAAATCAGATTCTCTATCTTTTTGTTAAAATATTCTCTTTGTTGGAGTTGAGCAGGAGGCTTATTGGCCATTGTCATTGGGGTACTGACACTGATTGTCCAGAGCAATGAGCAAAGAACAATTTGTGATTTTTTTTCTCCTTGACTTTAGAATGTGCATTATGAGTTGCTGTTTTACCCTTATTCTTTGATCACTGATAGGGAATATCTGTGATCTGGCCCAGAAATGTGGCCAGGGAAACTGAGTTTTGAGTTAAACGTTTTCTTTCATAATTCTACATATAGAAAATTGAGATTGACTTTAAAAGCTTTATTGATGTTAAGACAAGAATACATTTTCTTAAGTTTTTTTATGTTTAAAATTTTTCTTTTTCTAGATGAATCAACAGGGATCATCTATAGAAAGAGGGTTGCAGTCTGTCAGAATGTGATTCCAGAAATTTTAAGGAAGGTAAATTCATTTCAAAATTTAATTAGAGTTGGTGTGACATTGAGTAATTTTTAATAGTCATGGAAAGAGACTGGATTTTCTGATGAAAAGGAGCATTAGAACTTTTCTACTTCTCCCACCTCATAGTCCTTCAAAAGAAGCAACCTCTTTTATATCCATCCTCAGTCTTGGTGGATGCACCTGGTGACACCTTTTCTCTGTCTCTGTCTTTGTGAAGGGCTTAATGGGTGTAGAGATGTTCTACAGTTATTTTAAAGACACTTTCAGCATTTTGCATGAAGTGACTATCTTTTCTAATCTGTCCATGGTTAGAAATGACTTGTACGTAAAAATGATCAGAAGGGGCAGATTGTAAATATTTAGTTTGATCTTTAAGAAGGAAGCTAAAAGCTTCAGTTTCTAGTGCACTCTCAGAGATAGTTTTTCTGAGAGCATAATGTTCTCAGTGCTCCCTGTAAGTCTTTTTGTGTGTGTTTCTGTAAAGTAATATCGTTGATGATGAAATCTTCATTATAGCAAATTGTTTTCTCTCCTTGTAACCCTTAAGCATGCTGGTGATTCCTTGTTGGACAAAGGTGAGTGGAAATTTTTAGTCACATTGCTTAAACTATGGTGGGATTTTCGATGGGAGTCCTTTTAGAATTATTAGGAAGAGGAGAACGTCTTGATACACAATTTTAAAGATGTCTCAGATGATTGTTTCAACCCGGAAGAGATTCTGTGTAGGATGTGAAACCCAGCTTGGTTCCTGCGGATTAGCTTGCAAATTAAATTGCTGTACTATATGTAGAAAAAATGGCAGCTTTCATCACTTTCTTATCGAGGATTAAAAGACTCTGTCATATTCGTTAATGTAATAAAGCTGATATGACAGTGAAAATGAACTTTCTTTTATTTTCCAGATGGCAAAATGTGTTGCACTATAGCAACACATATTATTATTGGCTTTTTCCACAGAGTGTGTACCCTGTCTTTGCCCTATATACAGACTTTGAATCTATTATTTAAAAGGCATTCAACTTTGTCTCTTACCTCAATTCTTAAATAATTTAAGGATACCTCTGACTTGTACAATTCCGCCTTTGTAGTTTTCTATGTCTTTTCCACCTAGGAAAGCATACATTTCTAGTTATTGGACAGAGTTTACAATGAAGAAAATATTTTAGCTGATATTGTCCTGCATGTGAGCCAGTAAGTGGGTCTGATTAGAATTCATCAATTTAAGAAGGCCATAACCAGCCCTAGAGGAGACACGAAGGAGGCTGATAATTCGCTTAGTGTTGAGCAGTTAGGGAAATCAGGCCAGGGACTGTACAGCCTTCATAAATCCTGGGCAATTTGCATGTCCTCACTAGCACTTAGTAAGGTCATAATATGTTTGATTATCAAAGACTGAACAGGCATTGGTGAACCGTCATCCCTGTATCACGATCACCTGTCCTCTTAATTATCGGAGACTGATAGCAACTCTGGACACAATCTTTATGTAGCCTGTTCTTCCTAAATTGAGAAAGCCATCCTCCCTCTGTTGGACAGGTGAGCATTTTAAAGGTACCTGATATCCAGTTAGAAGAGGAATCATGGCTTAATCTTCAGGAAAGAAACATGGCTATACGGAGTCACTGCCTTACGTGGACACAGTATGCATCCATGAAGGAAGAGTCTGTCTTCCGCGAAAGTGTGGAAAATCCAAATTGGTAAGATCACCCCAGTGTGTGTGTGTGTGTGTGTGTGTGTGTGTGTGTGTGTGTGTGTGTGTGTGTTGGGTGCAGAGATGGATATATGAGCACATACATTAAAAAGCTATGATTCTATACTTATGAGCTCTGTTTACGACTCACACAAATTCCACATTATTAATTTTTTAATCACACAAGTAATTAATGAATGTATTTTCCTTTAGGGGAAAATGACAGAGCTTAACTTCTCTCTGACCACCCCTCCCAATCCTGGTGTCTTTTGCCCTCTCTAGAGGCAGTGCATATTACCAGTTTGCTGAATATTCTTTTAGACCTTTAACCAATACCTTTAGATACTTACATATGTATTCATAGAGCCTGTATAGTACGGTTTTGTTTATCTTTTTCACATACATGATTTCATGCTGTGTAAATTATTGTGTTCTTCTCTTTTTTACTTATAGAATGTTTCTGAGCTTTTAACATTTGATATATGTAAATCTAGGTTATTCCTTTGAACTGTTGGATAGAGTTCAGTCCAATGACTAATACTACATTTTATTTACTTCCTTTTTGATAGACATTCAGATGGTATCTAGTTTCTCTTTATTACAAAAAACACTACAATATTTGTGAAGCATATGTTCCTTGTATATGACCCCTTATTCTACATGTGAGTGTTTTTCTAAAGTAGAATTTTTAAATGTCAGGTGTATTGAGATATTATTTAATACAATAAAATTTATTCTTCTTAGTGTACAGTTCTGTGAGTTTTGACAAACACATATAGTTGTGTCACCACCAGCACAATTAAACTATTGAACATTTAATGTATATTTTAAAAAGTTATATCACGGGGCCGGCCTGTGGCTCACTTGGGAGAGTGCGGTGCTGATAACACCAAGGCCACGGGTTCAGATCCCATATAGGGATGGCCGGTTTGCTCACTGGCTGAGTGTGGTGCTGACAACACCAAGTCAAGGGTTAAGATCCCCTTACCAGTCATCTTTAAAAAAAAAAAAAAAGTTATATCACATGACAACTTAATGGGGAAAGAATATTCTTTTCAATAAATGGTGCTGGGACAACTGAGTATCTACATGGAAAAGAATGAAATTGGACCACCATCTCACACCAAATACAAAGTGGATCAAAGAGGGAAATGAAAGAGTGGAAACTATAAGACACTTAGAAGAAAACACAGGTATAAATCTTTGTGATCTTGGATTAGGCAATAGTTTCTTAGATATGACACTGAAAGCCCAAGCAACAAAAGAAAAAAACAGATAAAATTGACTTCATCGAAATTAAAAACTTGTGTGCTTCAAAGGACACTGTCTAGAAGGTGAAAAGACAATCTGGAGAATAGAAGAAAATATTTACAAATCATATCTATTATAAGGGTCTAGTATCCAAAATATATAGAGGACTATAACTGATAAGGCACTTGTATCCAGAATATGTAAAGGACTATTATTACAAAGATAACCCAGTTAAAAGAGGAACAAAATATTTGAGTAGACATTGCTCCAAAGAATATATACAAATAGTCAATGAGTACATGAAAAGCTGTTCAACACCATTAGTCATTAGGGAAATGCAAATCAAAACGACAATAAGATACCGCTTCATACCTTCCTAGAACGGCAATAATAAAGAAGACAGTAACAAGTGCTGGTACAGATGGGGAAGAATTGGAACCCTGCACATTACTGATAGGAATGTAAAATGCTGCAGCTGCTGTGGAAAACAGTTGCCTCAAAAAGTTAAACAGTAGAGTTTAATCATTAGAGTTACCATTTGGCTCAGCAATTCCACTCCTAGGTATATAACTAAGAGAAATGAAAACATATGTCCACAACAAAAACTTGTACAAAAATGTTCATAGCATTATTCAAAATAGCCAGAATGTGGAAACAAGCCAATGTCCATCAACTGATGAATATATAACTAAATGTAGTATATCCATAAAATGGAATATTATTCAACCACTAAAACAAATGGAATGCTGATTCATGCTACACAACACAGATGAATCTTGAAAATATTATGCTAAGTGAAAGAGGCCACATACTATATGGGTCCTTTTACTTCAAATGTCCAGAATAGGCAAATTCATAGAGACAGAAAGTGGATTAATGGTTGCCATGGGCTAGGGGGAGAGGAAAGAGCATGGTGACTGCTAATGGGTACTGAGTTTCTTTTTTGGGGTGCTGAAATGTTCTGGAATTAGTGTTGATGGTTGCACAGCTATGTGAATAGACTAAACCCCACTGAATTGTACACCTTAAGAGGGAGAATTTTATGGTATGTGAATTGTTTCTCAATTTAAAAAAAGTTAGTTTATATAGCATTTATTTTGGGCTGCTGTAACAAGAATACTGGGTGGCTTAAACAATGAACGTTTATTTCTCACAGCTCTGGAAACTGGGAAGTTCAAGATCTAGGCAATGGCAAATCTGGTGTCTGATGAGGGCCCTCTTCCTGCTTTGCAGATGTCTGTCTTCTCATTGTATCTTTGTATGGTGGAGAGAGTGAGCTCTAGTCTCTTTCTCTTTTTATAAGGACACTAATCGCATGATGGGAGCTCTGTCCTCATGACCTCATGTAAACCTATTTACCTCTCAAAGGCTCCATCTCCTAATACCACCACATTGTGGGTTAAAGTTCCAACATATGAATTTTGGGGGACACAGATATGCAGTCCTTAACATAGATTCTGTCACATTGTCTTCCAATGTGTTATATACAACTTTACAATCTCAACAGCACATGTGAATGATCACTTTCCTACAGTATCACCAGTACTTAAAATTAACATGTTTTTTAATTTTTGCCAGTGTAATGGGTGAGAAATGATTAATTCCTCTGAGATATGTTTAAAAACAAAGCAAAATATCACACACACTAAATGTTAATAGTAATCATTGCTGTGAACTATGATTTCAGAGGATAATTTACTGTATTTTTTGTTACTGTTCTGTTTTTATTGTGTACCTATCATTTTAATGGAAATGGTAAAGCCCTCAACCCAAATACAAGTTGGATATTCCTTACCCAAAATGCTTGGACCAAAAAGTTTTGTATTTCAGATTTTTTTAGATTTTGGAATATTTGCAGAATACATACCATTTGAACATCCCTAATCTGAAAATTCAAAATCCAAAATGCTCTAATGAGCATTTCCTTTGAGTGTCATGTTGGCACATTAAAAAAGTTTCAGATTTTGGAGTATTTAGGATTTAGGACTTTTGGGTTAGAGATGCTCAACCTGTAATTAAAAGCCAAAAACCTAAGATCCATTCTTAAGCCCCAACAGTTGTCCAAATCATTAATGCTCCCCGTAACTTTGGTCCTGTAGTGATAATTCAAGGATGCTCCAGCAGCCCACTAAATGAGTGTGAATGCCAAGTCTTATTAGCATCAGAGGTGAGTTTGCTTTGAACGAACTCTAGTTTTTGTTTCTTGTTTTCCTCATGACAAGAGCTTCACACAGGGCATAGGTGTTTGGGACTAAGTATAAAGGCTGTGGCCAGGGAATAGAGCTCTTTTCTTTGTAGAAATAGTAAAAGGATGGAATTGTCTGATTTCATGTGGAAGAAAAATGTTTTTCACTTTATGTACTTCATTTTAGCCTTAGTATTTGCAGATATTTGGGCTATTGTCTAGACTTAAAATCTGAACTTAGCTTTCATCCATAATATGTAAAACGATATGAGCTCTGAGAATCCAGGGAAAACATTCTTTAGGAACCTCTTTCCTTTCTGTAAATTTTTTAAAAATTTAATTTAATTTTTTAATTGGTTATGAATATTCATGGGGTACAAAGCTGATTGTTACCACTTATCCCCAAGATGCGATGGCCAGATCCATACTGGCAGCATGCCCATTACCACAAATTGTGATTGTACCCGGTGTCCCCCACCCAATTATCCCCGACCTCCCTCTAAATCCTCCTTTCCCCTTCTCCACTTTGTATCCCTAGGTATGTCTTTTTTGTGTTTTTTTAAAAATTATTTTAAAACAGTCATCCTGATTCTGGAAAAAAAAAGATAATGTGTCTTATAAAAAATATTAACCAATTCTGGAAAAAAAGGAAAAAATTTTCATCACCTAGAGATAGTGTGTTTATATAATTTCTTGCTCCAGTCCTAATTGGCACTTAAATTGTTTCTGAATTTTTTGCTATTACAAATAGTGTTGTGATAAAAATCTCTATGATTACATGTTTTCCCACTTATTCAATTACCTATGAAGGAAGATTAAGCAAAGTGGGATTTCTGGGTCAAAGGTTACATGCATTTTATATTTTGATACGTATGATCACATTCCTCTATAAAAAGATTTGATCAGTTACACTTTTTCCCCCCTCTGGTTTGTTTGATTTTTCTTTCTTTTTGGTGGCTGGCTGGTACAGGGATTTGAAACCTTGACCTTTGTATTATATGGTTTATGTTTTTAATCCTCTCCAAAACACTATCTTTTATATTATTGACAAAACAGGCTAATATTTATTGACACCTTCTATATCAAGGTCAAAGTTAGATCCTTCATGTGTGATCGTTTTGAGGCTGAGTATAAATAACTTGCCTAAGGTGATAGTCAGGAAATTGCTGAGTCAGCATGTGAATCCAGGTATCATACATTCTACCTTGAGTGAAGTGGTGAGGCAGAACTATGGAAATTTATGAAGGGTGGGTTTATCTCAGACTGTAGAGTGCTTTGAATCCCAGATATGGAGAATGGGTTTTGTCCTTTCAGCAACAAGCAGCCACATGAAGGTTTCAGAGCAGGGGCTAATGTGCTAAAAGCTGTGATCCAGACTCTCCAGAACTTGTGTTTCTTAGCTCTTGACATGGATTCAGAAAGGGATTTAGGCAGACTTTTTATATGAGTGGGTAATCTAGGATGGAGGGGCATCAAAAAGAAGGACATGTTACAGGTTAAGCGTCCCTAACTTGAAAATCTGTAATCTGAAATGCTCCAGTGAGCATTTCCTCTGAGCATCATGTCGGCAATCAAAAACTTTTGGATTTTGGATTTTCAGATTAGTTATGCTCAACCAGTGTGTATTCTGCAACTATCCCCAAATCCAGAAAAATCTGAAATCTGGAACACTTCTGGTCCAAGCATTTTCGTTAAAGGATATTCAACCTATATTTCTTTAATTTCCTTCCTTTGCCAGGGGATGTGAGAGTAATGGCTAGCCACTGCACCCAGAAGATGAAATATGGCCATTTTTTTTAAAAAGGAAAAAAAAGTTGTCCTGGCTGCTGAGCTTAAACTTTGACCTTTGAGCTGTGTGTTGGTTAGCAGGTGTGAGTGTGTGATGAGAAACCAGATGTCAGACTGTCCCTGTGCATGGCCTGTCGGCTCAATTCAGAGATGGGCTTGAAATGGGTTTCCAGTAGAACTGACTAAGTCTTGCTCTGCCTCTCTTTATATAGATCTGATTTTGGCTTCCCACTGACAGAAAACTCTCCAGTTGTGGCACCTGCTTGGGCAAGAGCTACATTGGTCTTCCCCCTGTCTGCAGTCTCAAAGAACTGAATATTTCTAATAAGACTTCTTCCTTTACCAACTTCATCTGATGTTTTCTTCCTATAGTTTTTATGGAATGGAACTTCCATCCTTTTTGGAAGATAGAGTGATGTGCTGTTTTTCACTTATCTAACTATTCTAGAACCCAGCTTGGCATTCCATGCCTCAGAGAAACCCTCCTATACTTACTCTATCCTTTGTTCTGTATCAGTTAGACTACGTTTTGCTGCAAATAACAGAAGCCCTGACTCAGACAATACCAGCCATCCCTTATATATGTTTACTATGTACCGGGCACTGTTCTAAGTATTTGTTATGTGTGGGTTATGTGTATGTGGGTGTGAATAAAAATTCATTTAGTCCTTATAATAACACTATGAGATTGTATATTAGTCAACTTTTGTCTTGCTATAACAGAATGCCTGAGACTGGGTAACAAAGAAAAGAGGTTTACTCGGCTCACCATTCTGGGACAGATGCATGTGGTGCAGGCCTCAGGCTGCTTCTACTCATGGTGGGAAGCGGCAGGGCAGCCAGCTCTCATGGGAACTAATCCCTTCCTTTGAGGGATCACTCATTTCCTGGGGAGGGCATTAATTTATTCAGGAGAGATCTGCCCCCATGACGTAAACACCTCCCATTAGGCCCCACCTCTTTAAGGTTCTACCTCCCAACACTGCCACTTTGGGGATCAGGTTTCAACATGAGCTTTGGTGGGGGCACACATGTTCAAACAGTATCAGATTGGAAGTAATTTTATTCCCATTTTACAAACTGAGGCTCAGAGAAGTTAAGTAACTTGTAAAAGGTAAGATGGCCAATAAGTGTCAGTGCCAGATTCAAACCTGGGCAGTTTGGCATCAGAATCTATGCTTTTGGCAACCACACTGCCCTTGCCCTCAATAAGCAACTCTTTTAGCTCATAACCAAGTAGGCTGTAATTCCATAGCTGTTATTCTTTTGGCTCAGTTTTTCCCTGTGTATCCGTTTTTTTTCAAGTTTGAGTTCCTCATGGCTGCCAGTAGCAACTAGGATCAGTGTACTTTTTGCCCACATTTAGTGAGGGAAAGAGAGCTGTGGGATGGAGAAAATCTGTCTCCCAACCACAGGGAAAAAATGACTTTCCCCTGAGACTGATCGAGTCAGCTTAGATCACCTGCTCCCTCCTGGACATTAAGAGTGATCCGAGGAGGGGCTGGCCTGTGGCTCACTCGGGAGAGTGCGGTGCTGTTAACACCAAGGCCACGGGTTCGGATCCCATATAGGGATGGCCGGTTTGCTCACTGGGTGAGCGTGGTGCTGACAACACCAAGTCAAGGGTTAAGATCCCCTTACCGGTCATCTTTTTTTTTAAAAAAAGAGTGATCCGAGGAATGACATGGCTGATTGACCTTGGCCAGTCAGCATCTTCCTCTAGAGCTGGGGGCGAGGGAGGTCAGCTCCCTCTGAGACACCTGGGCTGCATGGGAGACGGATGGGCATCTGAACAAAAATAATTGGAGTATAATAGAATGGGACACTACACACCTCCTTTCCTTTTCATGTTTTCTTTTCACCATCTCACCCATTGTCTTTGTTTTGCTTTGCAAGTAACAGAAACTCACTACTGCAGATGAATACAGGGATATCTCCATACCAGTGATCGTGCCTCTCAAGGGATAGGAACCAGGAACTGGACAGCCAGCAAGAACTAAGGCAGCCTCATCGTCTCTTGTCTTCCCATGTCCGGCTCATTTGTTCAACAGATCTGCTTTGTCCACACAGCCAACCCAGCTCCCCAGGCCCATCCATGGTCTAGCACATTCTTTGCCATAGTAACTGACTAGACTCTTGGGTTAGAGTCCCACCTCTGAAACTCATTCTATGCCCTGGAGCAATTTACTTCACTTCTCTAAGCCTCAGCTTCCTCATTTGTATGATGGGGGTGAT